CTTGAGCTGGAAACAGTTTCTCAGTGACCTTTATTTTTAATATGATATCTCTAAAGAGGTCAGAGCAGGAGAAGCCCTCCTTCAGTATGGCTTTGCTGGAAAGAAGCCACCAAAGACTCAGAGGATATAAAGGATCCTTAGGCCAATGCAAAAGTCTAGGGCTTTTGCGCAGATGGTCCTGGCTTCCAACCGGTCCCTCCAGATCCACTGAGCCAATCCAACAATTAGAGGAAAATATTCAGAAAGCAGAACCTCGCAGAGTTTCTCTCACCCATCTGCTCCTACAGACTCTGCAACAGGAGGAAATCTGGCTTGGGTAACAGAAGAATGGTGAAATGGATTGAACAGGGCTCAGAAGGGGCCAGAAGTTCAACCCAAAATGCAACCAAACTGTGAGAGAGTTTGGAAAGGACTGGAAAAAAAACATACATTGGAAACATATAAAAAGTCGCAGCTGTAGAGGGTTTAGGGATCTGAAAGCCAAAGCAAGAAAAGCCAAAAGCATGGTTTCTTCTCCTGCATGACTTAGGAAAGCAAAATACACTGTCTGTTCAATGAAATTAAGACAGTCCCTTTGTGTCTTTTACGAGTAATGTACAAGTTTATGTGTCCTGAGTGGTCACACATATAGAAATATTTCTGTATGAGCGAATATTCCTGCCAAAACTTTTTCATTAATGGACAATAGAAAACCTTCATAGAACATATTTTTTAACATCTCAATTTTCTACAATTGCCCTATGTAATATAAAACTTCCCAATTTATACTGTCTGTATAGTACTTTCCAGGTTCTTCTTATGAGGTGCGGCTGAGGGAACTGGGGTTGTTCAGCCTGGAGAAGAGGAGGCTCAGGGGAGACCTTATTGCCCTCTACAACTGCCTGACAGGAGGGGTAGTGAGGTGGGGGTTGGTGTCTGTTCCCAAATAACAATCAATAAGACAAGAGGAAATGGCCTCAAGTTGCACCAGGGGAAGTTTAGATTGGGTATTAATATTTCTTCACCAGAAGGGTTGTCAAGCATTGGAAAGGGCTGCCCAGGGAAATGGTTGAGTCACCATCCCTGGAGGTATTTAAAAAATGTGGTGCTTAGGGCCATGGTTTAATGGTGGACTTGGCAGCGCTAGGCTAACGGTTGGACTTGATGATCTTAAAGGTCTTTTCCAATCTAAACAATTCTATGATTCTTAAACAGGCAGGTTGGCTTAAATAACTGCTGCTTTTAGGGTCTGATCCTGCGCCAGCCAAATTCAATGCAAACGTTCAAGAGACATCCATCTCCTTTGAACTAAGCCTTCCATGCAATTTGTGTATATTTGAGGGAGGAATCTTTTTTGCTTGAAAGGTTGCTAGTGCTTAATGTAGCTTGCATTGTCTTTTTAAAGTAAGACAATCAAATCACATAATGTAATTCATGTACATTATTAGCCTGCTCCAAAGACAAAGCACAGGCTAGACACTGAGGTTTGAGAGACATGTGAGAGAAAACATTGCCTTTAAATTAGGATTAGCCTGTATCAGAGAAGGGGAGGGAAAGTGAGGAAGGGCTCACTATAAAATATACACTTGATGATGGTATGTGCTTATATGTTTTACAAAGGACAGTGAAGCAGAGTTTGGCAAGGCAGGGTTAGCTCCTGTAATCAAGACCAGGGAATTACTATAATACCAAAGGCAGCATTGCCAACTCTCCCAACTTTATTATCAGTCTCAACATATTACGCTGTTTTTTTCTGCTTGGCTCCGGAAATAAAACAATTTAACAAAAATCTCATTTTTCAATAAAAGTGAGAAAACCTAAACTGGGGAACGAAGTGTGGAACCTTAAAGCTTGGAAAACTAAATGGCAAACTGCTGCTTTTTGTCTCTCAAATGTTAATGTTTCCCAAATCTCAGGCGAGCCAGTTTCATGATTTGCTTGGACTTCATGTGTGGTTTATGAACATAGGGCAAAGGCAATACTGAACATACAGTAGGGCCAGTGGGCTGCTACAGCAAAAACAGAATTCACTTTTGGAGTTGGTGTCCTGTGTGTTTAATGAGTGTATATTAGTGAGTTCCGGAAAAAAAAAAAATCCCTATTTTTCTTTGGATTAGATCCCCAGCTCCAAAACAAACAAACCCCCCAATTCTCTTCAACCAAAAATGCCTAAACCCCCCACTCCTTTCAACAAAACTAAAGAATCCCTGCTTTTGCCACATAAAAACTACTTTAACCAGACTGAGGCATGATATTAGGGAAAGGGAATTTAAAACTTCATACTGAAGATCAGTGTCTTTGCTCTGCTAGCAAATAAAATCGCTTTGATTCAAGAAATAATATTGCTGAGGACTGCATGGCAAATATTTCTTAACACGTGCAGCAGGGAGCGTGCTGTGTCCTTTCTGCTCAGTACAGAGACAACAAGAGCTTTAGCAGTACAAATAAATACTTGCAGATCCAGAGGTCCCTAATTTTGGACAAGAGGGTAGCTGTATTAGAAGTCCTAATTTAGGAAACTGTGGCTTCACTGGGGCTTAAGCACAAAAGAGATGCTAGGGCCCTGACGTGTACGTAAGAGTGAAATTTCAATGGCTCATGTGGCTTTTGATCAGACTTTTAGTGTCTGAATTCAGTGGTAAGCACACACTTCGAAGATAAAAGTTGGACCCCTCAAACTCAAAGTTCAAAGAACTTTCAAGCTGCAGTGATGCATCTTCTCTAGCACCTTACAGAACTGTGTCTAGATTTGATTCCTTACCTTGAAATATTTTATTAATAGACAAGCTATATGCAATATGGAAATACATACTAACTCATTTTTGTAAAAAGAACATATAGAGCTTAAGTTAAAAAAATCTGGGCCTTTACAAACATCTAAGGATGGCTTCAGCAGGTAATGCAGGATCTTGCTACAGACACAGGGTATGTATGTTCTATTCCTTTCGCAAAACATAATAAACAAATCTTTAACACTAGACGCACAGCATAACATAGCACCACATGATTTTGAGGTCATGAACTCTCAGTCCTAATGACGAAATAGCATTTAGCCTTTAGCACTTTCACGTAGAGCCGCAGCTTGGAGAGAAATTTAATATCACTAATCTGACCTTGAACATCAAGGCTTAAGATTTATAAGTTTTGGGGAAAGAAAGGAGTAAACTTCAATCTGTTTTGATAACATGAATATAAGATAAAAAAATACATATTTTCTAGTAGAGGCAGTCAGACATTAAATTATCCTATCCCATAGATGAGAGCATTAGCAATCTAATCTTTAGTCGAGAAGGCATATCCCTCAAGTAACAATGACATGCCACTACGATTTCTTAAGATGATTTTCTACTAGACTCAAGACCACATGATTTTCAGAGAATAAATCACACCCCAGATTGAGAGCCCATCCTGAAATTACTTGACTAAAATTCTTAGTTTCAACACAGCTCTTGGAGACAAAACTGAATCTATACTAACAGCGAGAAACAGGCAACAGAAAACTTCTAAGGTGCACCTAATGCAATGGATATCACATTATTTTTCCTCAGTGTCTCAATTCTTTCATTTTGCAGACCTAACCAAATATGAAAACATTAAACACAATCTCTGAGCTCAAAGCCACTTCCAAAACTGCCAAGTATAAAACTGTTATGTTTTGTTTATCATATTAAGATACATTTTTTGATGAAAAAATGCTAGATTGCAAGTGTAACATAATAGAACCAGCAAGCAATGCCAGCAGGTCTGAGGAAGAGAGAATAATTCAGAGATATTGTCATCTGTAGGCCAATTTATATTGTCAGACAGCAGGTTCACATTAGTCTCTGATGTCACTGCAATAATGGCATAATACAACGATTGAGCAAAGAATACCCGTGGGGTATAGCTATACGGTGCGGTATATCTATACTTGTTAAAGTATTTCAGGATTCATCAAAGCAGAAGCAGAAGAAGCAGAAGACCAGGATTAAAAGAAGAGTGAGAAAATGGTGTTCATAAAGACTTCTGAATATTTTAGCCCTTGTTTTGTGATGATGAAGCAAGCACAATGTTGTATTTCATTGATTCAGTGGGTTCATGATTAAAATAAACTAACGTAGCAATTTAGGGGTTTTGTGCTTGCTTCTTTTTTTCCCCTCTAACAAGAAAAAAAGCTTTTTAACAGTTTCTCGCGGCAGGCATAATGTGCATCTGTGCTCTGATTTACTGCACATGCTGCCTTCTCCAGCATCATGTTAAGTTAGGGTATCAGCATGGTAGGTCACACAGTGGGAGTGACCTTTTGCTAATCACTACACATCACTTACTACTGGCACACAGCTCATTACTAAGAAACCCTCCAACTAGCTGGCTTTCAAATCCGCTCACACTTTGATTTTTTTTTTCCCTTTTCTTTCTTTCTTTTTCCCCCCAGATTAAAGATTATACTTTTACATAAAAGCTTCTGTTGTGTAATTTTGTCAACTAGGGTTCCAAAGTCAAAAAGGCACCCAGTTAATTTTCCATGATTATAAAAGGAGCCTGAAAATTCATACTGAAGGTAGGCCAGTAATCTTGGGTTTCATTAAAAAGGTCAGAACATTTTTACTCACCGCCTATTATTAAAATGTTTGAGGGCTGCCATTAATTTGATTTTTCAGGACACAGAAATCTCACTGGAAATTAGAATGTAATCCTGCTGTTGCTTTACAGACACTTTTCATAGGGTAGGATACGGCTGCGGGGACTAAGAGCTCTCCTGCAATTTACAATTGGTTATTTTGGACAAATGGCAGGTGACTAATGCAAGACAAACTGTTTGCACAACCCGGGAGCACTGGGTTTAATTTCAGTTTCTGAAAGAGGGGAGAAAGTGTTTCTATTGACGTTGAACCGCGAGCTGTCCCCTGCCAATACATCTGCCACATTTAATACACAACACGCCCCCCCACCCCCGACAATGTGATTATTAGAGGTACAGAATTCAATAGCTTAAGAATACAAAACATAGCTGGAGCAAAATGAAATGGTTTTTAACTTACCGGCCATTTGCTGAATGCCGCTGAAGGCACCCAAGTTACTGGAGGAAGTTGCTTGCTGCAGAAGCTGTAAATGAACAACATAACATGGCAATCTATCTGACATTAATGTAACAAATGAAGATAAAACTAAAATAAGCTATCGTTTTGCATTTGGAGTATTTATGCTTTCCTTTACATTTATATAGTCTCTTGCTTCTGTCTATTGTTGGAATGAACATCCCTAGAGTCAATGCTGTAAATCCATATTAATGTCTAATCTCTATTAAGAAACACAGAGACACAAGGGAAACTCAATAACATTGCTGCTTTAAAACAATTAATCAATTTATTCTTTTTAACAACCAGGTGTTAAATCTATTTAAACCAACATAGCGTGACTAATTACAACCCTCTGTAGTCTAGTAGTTACCATAACTCATCTCTGTCAATCACGGTCCGTTCTCCCCCACCCCCTGGAATTCAGATTTTTCTTTATTATCTGTATGAATCAAGCACACCGATACTCATTAGACTGGTATTTGTATATAACAATTTAGCCTACCTCCGTATTAATTAGCCTACCTCAGTACTAATATATATTTTTAATTGCGAGGTAAATTGCTGTTTATAATTATATCACTATACCAAAGCATTGTATGCATACAAATTATGTATTTATGCATACACGGTACATATATATGGACGCATCTATTTGTCTAACTCGGAACCCTCAGGAACTCCCCAAGTTATCCAAAAGCTGCTCAACCAGACCTCTCAACTCCAGAGCCACAAGGGCAGAGGCTCCCTCCCAGCCGTGCTGCAGGGGAGTCTCTCTTGGCCTTCCAGGACCTAAGACGCGTGGCTGTGGATTTCAGATTCCTCCATCAGGGGCAGCAGCTAACGTCTCTTTCTCATCTTACAGACGGACCAAAGAAAATACCATTTTAAATTTATGAGAAACTAATTGCTTTCCCTTGCCATCTTCACTCTCTGTACAAGGTAGTACAAACCACGCATGTTTAGCATTGACAGGACCACGCATTAAAGTGAAAGCCATTTCCAAATGAAAATGTGTAAAATTAGAGGACTGAACCACAACATTCTAGTTTAGAGGCTGCACCATATAGATATGGCCCCTACAGTGTTCAGCTGCCTATCTCCTCCCCTAAGGAAGAACTTAAATTTTATTCTGGCTATAAAAAACAGACTCTAACATTCAAAAGAACAATAAAACTAATAGAATCAAATTTTATTTTGCAGCATGAGTAAACTTGAAATGCTTGCCTTGGACAGCACTGACAAATCTTGAAATGTTTATTCTAATTCAATTCCACGTTACTTATTTTTAGACCATGTGATAAACATACAGAGTTTTTTATGCAGAAAAAGACATGCTACGTATCCTGGAGGACTTAGCAATTTATTGCAGGGGGTTTACTGTAGCTGATTTACCATGGTTCTAAAATAAATACAGTACAATATAGCCACCACCTCTGAAATGAACTTACAGCTAGGTATTGTGGTGTGAGTCCTCCAAGACCTGTGAGGTTTCCCCAAGTGGCAGTATTGAGCTGTTGCATCTGCTGTGCCAACTGCTGCTGTAAACGCCGCTGCTCCTTGTCCTTTTGGGTATCGGCAAACTTCACCACGATTGGCGAAGAGCAGCCCTGTGGTTAGACAGATCGGGAAAGACAGAAGCGTTAAATCCCACCGAGTCACCCTGGCACTGTCCCATAGGGCCACCGGCAACGGCATGACCTGATTGCTCACCCTCTCTTTCTGACTGGCATATGTAGGACCACAAGGACTAAGGTTTTCAGCTTCTTAGGAAAAGAGGCTGAAAAGAGGAGAAATTATTGATTCCCCAGTTCCTTTTATAAAGCACCTTTCCTCAGGCTCTCTTTTCCTTCCAGCTATCAAAACTGCTGCCAGAGACAGCGAAGCGTACCAGTCCTCTTTAATTAAGCTTCACAGCTGATGAGATGGACGTGATGCTTTGTCTGCAGTCTGTTTTCAAGGCATCGCCAAAGGGAGAGGTGTCCAACCTCCCTGCTGCCAGGGACCACACAGCCAACACCGCCCTGCCGCCACGGTCTGGCTGTGTGGTCATGCTTGGTGTAGCTGGCTTGTGTACCCTACGTAAATAGACTGAGTGACCGATTTACTGCAGCACCCATCATCAGCGGGCCACTGGTCCTTTTCGTATCAAGGACCCCAGTCCCAAGTGAGCACAAAGGGAGATGCTGCTAGGCCAATTCACCCACCTGTGGTCCGCTCCCAGGCACGCTTTGTATCAAGCACCTTTGAAATGTGAACAAAGGGCAGGATGCAAACCAAAAGGGACTAGTTCTGGTGATAGCAGCCCATTCCTGATTGCCACTATTTCTTCTACGAGCTTTGTGTTACATGGTATGGGAGGGTTGTAAGACACCTTAGGAAATAGGGAGGCTGTAAGAAAGAACTAGAGATGTGGTCTGCAGCCTACTCCTCACCCATGTCTGAGGGACCCTTGAGAAGAAGTAGGAGGTCATGGACCTGATGGACATTTGAGGTAAGCTGGGTATTTCCCTTGGACTCCAGATTGAGTATTCCTGGGCAAAGTCAGTGAGAGAACAAGACGTGAATATGAAAGATGTCTCTGTTGCTCTCGCCCTATTTTTTTACCCCTGCTAACATATAAAAACATGTTTTCATATTTTAACCTTTCACGTCTTCACTTTTCAAATCAAGGGAGCAAACTATATATTGCAATGATTCAGTTCTTTGAATTAATTCAAGCATTTTATGAGTCATAGAAACTGTCAATCCATTGAGTACTGTTTTCCAACTTCATAGGTTCCAATGAATAACTTCCCTCCACCCGCCATGCTGTGTTATACTAATTTCTTGTCTAACTGAACACAACGGTAGGAGTGAAAGGTGACTCAAGCCCCCAAAACAAAGCAGCACTTTAGCCAAAGTGTATAGTGTGGGATGGGTTATACTTAACCTAACTCTTCCCATGGCTGCTCGCCCAACACTGTGAACATCTTCAGAAAAGCTCCTGTCCTCTATTATTTACAAAAAGCAGCCGTGTACCTTTTCTCTGAAGAACCTTACACCAGGAGAAATGATAAGAATATTCACAATCAAGGGACAAAATGATGAAATAAACCACAATAATAATATCTCTTGTACGAAGATCTCCCATCAATACTGTTCCTTTAGAATTATCTTCGAAAATCATCACTTGTGATTTATTATTCCACCTCCAACTCCTTTCCTGGGCACTTCATTGTAAAAATGTCTTTCAATGTTTCAGTGAGGAAGAAAGGAGATATGTACCACTCCAGCAATCAAATAAAGATTATGAAGGAGTCAGCTTGTTACACAATTACCTCTCTCTAGTGATTTTTATACTAATATTAAAAACAAGACCCTTTGAAAAAAAAAAAGAAATAAAAAGGAGCCAGGGTTAGAGGCTGTGAGAGAGCTTTTCCTGGTTTCTCTAATAAAAAAAAGCAAGCTGTTTCTATTTAATATGAGGTTTGGTAGCAATGGGCTAAGAACAACCAGAACTTACTGCCTTCTACCTAGACATACAGGAGAATCAAGTCTATTTTCAAAGAAATAAAAATTAATTTCAAAGGAAGAAATATTATATGGCTATTTCAGTTCTCAGTTCAGCAGCTCAGCACTCAACACTACAGCTGACATCATATTTATGAGTGCTTAAATGTCAGTAAATTGTATAAAAACAATATCTCTGCAATTTATGAATCTATAATTCATTTTTTCACTGTCTGCTCTATATTTCATCACTTCATCATTTTCAAGAGAGCAAACATTCCGAAGACTGAAATTATATGTAGCAAGTGCTCTATATGAGAAAAGGGTTGTTATTGTTGCATCAAATTTACTCCGTGATAATAAGTTAGTGTCTTCTACCGGTGCTACACTTGAATGCCTTAAACAAACAAAAAACCTCCACAGAAATGAAACAGAAGAGTAAAAACTCTAGAGCAGCAATTATGTTTTTAAAATCAGTTGATTTAACCAGGTCAGAAAGTCAGGTGGAAAGAGCAGTAAGAGAATTCATTATTCTATGAGACGTGTTCATCTGGACATTAACATCCCCATTGTTCTTTCTTAGCCCACTTCGAAAATTCATCTCGGTCAATGATGCATGCCAAAGAACTGAAAATAATGAAATGAGAAAAAAAAATCTGCAGTAATTGGGTTGAAATGTAATTGTGTACTACATAGTGTCCTCCCAGCCCACTTCTGTTTGCAAAAACCATGTAACAGGAGTGTCCAAGGACCACTCTTTCAGGCTGAGAGTTGAGATTTAACACCAGCTAACCCAAGTTAATGTTTTACTAGAAGAATATGGGCAAAAGCGAGCAAACTTTTTTTGCTTAAAGAATGATTTCTGGTTTATGCTCTTCCATTTTCTATCTTGACAGGAAGCTCCCAGCACATACACAGGGTGCAGTTCCCTTCCTCATTCAGTGTCTTGGTATCTCCACCCCATTTAGTGCCATTTTCTTCCCAACAGCTGTTGCTGCTTTCATATTTTTCTTTGTGTTGTCAAGACAGTAGGTATGGACTCCGTTGGGTCCCTCACCCACAGAGCTGGAGGGTGTCCTGCTTCTCTCCAAGAAGGGACTCTCAGCCTAAGCTCAACTGGCACAAAGACCCAGATGTTCAAAGTGCAAAATATTTGGAATTGCCTTGCCAGTTTGGGGTTCTCACTGATGATGTCTCTAAAGTGTCGAGAAGTATTTTGATCCAAGAGTAACTATTCTATAGAACTAATGTCAACAGGAGTATCACATCAAATCGCAGCCTCTTTTGGAGTGCTGCATACAACAGGAGAATGGGAGAGTTTGTCTGGGAGGTATTATCTCTTTAATTTTACCATCTTCTGAAGTAGAGCTGTGTAAAATTCATTTTGCTAGACAGAAAAATACATTAAAACACATGGAAAAATATAGGTAAAACACAGTATTACCAATAAACATTTCCTTTTTACTTGGAATCAAAGCCAGAAAAACATATAGATCTGAATTAATGGAGCAGTGCATGGCAGACAAATTACGAGTATTATTTCAGAGACTCAAAGTGGCAGTTTTTTTCACAATGTACTGTCAGACTGCATAGATTGAATAACAGCAGCTTTCTAGTAAAGATCATTTCAATTATTCTCATATCATTGGCAGATTCTCATCTAAAACTGTATACTCGGGGTCTAAAAATGCATTGCACTGGAAAGAAAACACATTGATTATAAAAAAAGCTCAACCAAATTCAAACGTGATGTTCGGAAAGACAATAGCTTTGCAATGCCGATAGCATTACTTGTTGTATACAGGAAACAGTTAGTGACATTTTCATGCACTGGCTTGATTTTTATCTTCTCCTTCTTCTTCTCCTTTCTCCACCCTCCCACCCCTGGTCTTGCCCCTTGGCTCGTTACACAAAGCAGCTCAACGACATGACGCAATAATGATTGTTTAGCACCCAGCATGCTTTGGGAGACTAGAGCATTGCAAAGAAAAATCACTGAGAAAAAAAGAAATTGAAAGGTCCTGGTGGGAAAATAAATAAAAAAAAGAAACAAGTGCACATAACATCAATGCCACCTCTGAGAAAAATCATCACTACACGAAGATACAGTATACATAATACAGTATAACATGCACTCTCCAATGATAAGCTAGAAGATCCAGAGTAAGTAAAGACTTCATACTTGTGCGGTTTTTTGTGCAAAATTCTGAAAGACCATGACAAAAATCACAGACTGAAAAAAGTTTTGAGATTGCCAGTCAAGCCGTGGCATTCGATAACCACTCCAATGAACGGATCGTTAGCCTGCAGCTATATTCACATTAAGTGAACAGGTTTAAAGTTTTGTGTTGCTCATCATGATAAAATATGAGGCCGTAGAGGCAGTTTGGAAGGAAATAAAGAGCATTGGTTGTGAGGGGCCAGCCACGACAGTGCTCGGCAGGAAGTGCCACACTTTGATATGCTCTGTCATCATTAGCATTTTTATTGGCTACACGAAGAAGGAGAAATTATATTAGCTTAAAAAGAGATTCTATTTGCAAAGAAACACACGCACTAGTAACTCGGCATGGCCAGGATAAATCTCTTGATTTTTTTCTCAGAGCAGTGCAAACCACAACACTTAAAAATCTATTTAAAAGAAACTAAGATTTTTCTTTGGGGGTGTGTGTGTTAAAATTAAAGGTAATTTACTCATCAGATATACTCTGAGTATGACTGAGGAGTGGTATTCAGAGCATTTTTATTTTCTCCTGAATGCCACTGAAAACAGGACCAAGAGCCGTGTTTGGATACCACACGGCGACGTTATTGTGCGCTTTCAGGTCATTAAGAAAAATAAGCTTCACAAAGACAGGTAGAGTGAGTTGGTAAAAAGTTTAAATCTGTGATTGTCATGTGTCTGATCTCGTCCAGGAGAGCATGGCTTTACCATTCGCAATCATTTGCACAAAGAAAACAAAGAAAGGGCAAATGATACAGTACTGTACCTCCATGGTCTGAGACTGGTGCATGGCTTTGATTGCATTCTGTGCCATTGCCCTTGTAGAAAATGTGACAAACGCACAGCCTGTGGGAACAAGGGGACAGGGAGCAGGAAAGACAAAAAACAACAAGACAAAAGGGTTGGACGCTTGTTAAACCAACACAGTCTACGAGAACGGCCACAAGACGACACTGTTCTCAGTAGTACATAAAAATAAACAACTTCTCTAGTTTATTTATTGACAGTGCTGACTTGCTAATCTGACCATAGATGAAAGAAAAAAAGAATTAGGTGGGGATGGGTGAGGAGAAAGGTTTTTTTCCTTTAATTTTGTTTTTCTTTTTCTTTTTCTTTTTTTTTTTTAAGCCACAGGGTTTGAAATAAGTAAGGCTTTTATGTAGAGTTTGGATTGCATAGTTCAGTCTATTCAGGCCATGCATTAACAATTACTTGCTATGGCTTTTGTGCAGGTACACTGTGGATGGTGAATAAGTGACTGGCATCACTGGCAGCTGAACTGGGAATTTAATAAAGGAGTCCATAATGTCACGTATTTCCATGATGCACCATGAACAACCATACAAATAAGGATGAGAAAAACTCCACTGTGCAGCCTGTGACTAAGTGTGAAAAGACTCAGACAAAATCCAGTAATATAGGTGGAATCTCAACATTTAAGGAAATAACATATTAAAAATAAAAATCTTTATGATTTTTGTTTCTCCGAGTCCTAGGTACAAGTATAATTCTTTGATCTACGAAAGCTACCACCAACTTGAACTATTCTGAAGCTATGTGCATGAATAACTAAAAAAGCAGTTTTCTCCCTCTTCAGCCTTTTAAATCTTAATGAAAAGCCAGTAGGCTAATGCCTGGGCTATTTTTCCACCTTTTTACTATTGTCAGTCATACCTACACTGGGCATGGTACAGGTCAACTTTTTTACTGCATGACTCACTGCCCTTTTGACTAATAAAAACATTGCCTTCTGAGATTTACATTTTATTCTTCATGCACCCTTGGGCATCTTAAAGAAAAAGACTGTGAAATTAATGCAGATTCAGGCTGATTTTGTAATAATACCATGGCACACTAAAAGCTTAGCTAAAGCAACACAGACTTATTTCACTTGTGATCTCTAATGACTTTAAAAGTGCATTGATTTTCAGCTCCCTTAGCCTTGCACAGTTTGAACTTAGGTTTCAGAGAATAATTTAGTGTTCCACTCAATTTCCTCAAAACATTATTATTATTACTACTTAAAAGATTTCCAAATGAAGCAAATCTAAGCACTGAGAGGCTAAAGCATATTGTCATTTGAGAGCTAATGCATGAAAGCTACATTCTGGCATCAAAAATACAATATTGTTGCCCCTGTGGCCAATGGGCAAAATAAACCATTTTGCAATCCAACAAGCAACAGATTGTTTGGTTTATGCAAATCAATTTGAGGCATAAAATACCTTTTCTTTTTTTGCACCGGGTGTACCTGGTAAGATTATCAAGTCAAGACTGTATTCACATTTTAATCAAACAACAGTAAGAGAAAGCAATGCCTGATCATTACCCAAAAGCACTACATCTAGTCATGAAAATAAAGTCAATGCATTTTTGCATCATGCGGTATTTTTTTTTTTTCTCTTTAATGTAAAGGCCTTTGATACAAGAGAACCTAAGCTGGCTTATGTATCTCTGATGGATAAGTGAGCATCAGAAAATCAGAAGTCAGAATTCTTTTACACAAACTGCACGGCAGTGTTGTGACTCTTTACACATTTCTCAGGTAACATAGCAGCTGATGATGTCTTACTGCTGTTCAGCCACCCTACGTGTCGCTATACTATACTTATTCAGCAACAAATTTCTGTCAAAGAAAATGATGTAACAAAACAGCTTTCTGTACGGCAATCGAGACCCAAAATGTGCAGTAGAAGGGTAAATAAACTACAGTACCTCCGCTAGATTCCATATTGCTGCTGTGCACTAAAATTAAAGAGGCCCAAATTTACCATCAGTCTCAAAGTAATCTCTCTTAAAAACATTTATGTTATTATCGTTAACAGAGGAAATAACACCAAGGGCTTTCATTTCTCGTCTTGCAAATTCAATGGGGGATGAGCACAAATAGAGATATACTGGAGGGCAGGCAAGAAACCCCATACAGAGCCTTGAATAATATTGTTTATAATGGTCAAGAAACTGCTTCATTCACTTCTTTCGCTCTCATTATCCAGGAGTGTGTACCATAGTGACAATTACTGAATGGGGGGTTAGAATGCATAAGCAGCATGTAAAATGTCAACAAAAATCAATAAGACACAGTTTATGCATTTATCACAATTTCTACCCAGCAGTACTGCTGTAAGTAACTTACTGAGAGATGTTGCAATTAGCAGGTCTCAAAAGAAATGTGAATCAGCAGAGAAATAAAGCTGTGCTCCTCTCAAGATAAAGCAGACTCTCTCTTCTCTCCCTTAAGCTTTTTCTCTTTTTAACCCCAAAGCTCAGGTGTTGGGGACTTTCAGTGCCCAGCACTGCCGCAAAACCTCCCTCCTCATTCCTCAGCCCAAATCCATTTGCGTGGATCCTGTTGCCTTTGTCGTGGAGCGAAAAGAACTTCGTAGCAGATCTCTGTAAAGTGCCATATAGCGAGCTACTGATTTAAAAGAAACTTCTTCTCCGGGCAAGGGGAATGCCTGATGAATGAGGTTACGTGGCTTGAATATGAGCATTTGGAAACAGCATTCCACAGAGAAGACAGGACTGCATTTTAATTACGGTTCGCCAGCCAGACGCTACAAGGTTAGGTCCCCTTGTTATCTCCAGTCAGCAGGCCATTTCCCACTGACGGACAGTGGCCATTTGCACAGTAAATACACAATTTTCCTCAATAACCAAAGTAAAAATTCCATAGACAACCTTATTTCTAAATTATTTGATAGCCTAGACCTGCAATCGTTACCGTCAAGCACCCCAATGAAATGCTAGCTAATTTAACCATCTTTCCAGACATTGCTACATGTATTTACGTTCAAGAGTTATTTTTTCAGCTATCAAACCTGGACACTCTCACACAAAATTTGTATATTTGTTATCATAGAATCATAGAATGTTTTGGGTTGGAAGGGACCCCTAGAGGTCATCTAGTCCAACCCCCCTGCAGGGAGCAGGGACACCGCTAACCAGATCAGGTTGCTCAGAGCCCCGTCCAACCTGGCCTTGAATGTTTCCAGGGATGGGGCCTCCACTACCTCTCTGGGAAACCTGTATTGTGTGTGTACATATATTTTGTTATGTGTGAAACATGAGATTCTATATATTTTATTGACTGTGAACCATGGGATCTTTTCCTTCATGACCAGCCTGCCACACTGGAGCTAAGCCTGTAGCATAGGATTCAGTCCACTCAGTCACTGAACTTGCATTTATAATTTAGGTATTCAGGAAAGCTGTCCTTCTGAGATGCTTATATTCTCTGCCACAGTCAATGGCAGTACCTCTATTTTCCTATATAGGGTATATAGGCACTTTCATTGGGCACCTAGAATTGAATCACAAGTTGGTGGCTAAGGATGCTGGATTTCGTTTAAGCCAGATGAGCTCTGCCTGGACCATCCCATACTCTTGCCACAGCGGTTTCTGAGGGGTTGGGAAAGCCCTTTTCAGCCCACTCTCACTCACTGTATCTCATGGATACAGGTGGTCTTTCGGAAACTTACTGCCAGCTTTAGGACCATAAATCACAATTATAAAAGGACAAGACTAATCAGATTTCATGCCTTGTGGTGCAAGGAAAGAAGAAAGATTTCCATGGCCTCTTACCTCATCCTATGAAACACTGCACTGATTGCAGTGCTGTGGGCCGAGGTCTTCCAGACCAATAGCTACCATCAAACTATTTCTGTTCTACCATACTGAGTCCCGATACTTCAATTACACCCTTTGTACTGGAGCTATGGAGCTCTCTGGGAGAGAAAAAGTGGAGAGGCAGATATTTCTATAGCTAATGTCTTGATATTAATTTTTTTTGTACCACCAGCTACCTAACCACAAAAAAAATTCCTTTTGTAAATACGGCCAACCTGCAATTATTTATCACCTCTGGTTTCAAAATGTCAGGGATCACTAACAGAAACAAAAGGGGAGGGAGAGAAGAGGTCTAAGAGTTTTAGTTGCTTCTCCAAGGCCGCCTTCTCACCCCCTGTGCCAGATAAATGACTGACTGGTGAAAGGCTGCTCAAAGCAATTTCCTCCTGCAGGCAGAATCAGAGGGAAGCACCCGGTCCTGTCGCAGAGGAGATGTTGGGGCACATTCTCACACTTGCCATCTCGGTTGAGAGAACATCTAAACTCACAGGGTTGGTCCTTACCCCCCTCCCAGCCCAAACTGAAAAAGAATTTTGAAGAGCCTGCAAAATTAGAAAAGCTTCCTTCTCTACCTCATGCCATCCCAAACCTAGGGCTCGCTGTTTGAGCAATTGAATTATTTGAAATATTTTTAAAAGCTCAGCACTGCTCCATTTCAGCTCCTGCTTCACTTGATTCTTCTCATCTTGAGCTTTCATAGACTGTTTTGAAACGTTCAGTCAGCAGTTCATGCACAGACTAACATAACATCAATACTCGCAAGCTGCAAGTGAAGTAGAACATTTTTAAGTATGGAGGCCTCAAGGTAAGGGGTCCGATTTCATACCTGCACAAGAAACCTCCTACATAAAACTACTATGGTCCAACAGAGGTTTTAAAGCCCCCAAACCCTCAATGAAGCCAAAGGGAGATGCAAAACCGTTAGACATTTTTGAATCAGGCCTAGAGTTAAAAATGGAAGTTTAAAAACCATGGCTTTAAAGTTCTAGAGATGAAAGAAAGTCAGATGTAATAATTTTTTTTTTTAAAAAAATATATATAGTGACTCTTCTGATGCAGAAGAAGGCTCAAGAGATTTTCAAAGCCATCCGAGCAATCGCAGTACTACGTATGGTGGCTGCGCAGCTGGTGGTGTAATGGTTGCACTACAGTTTCCTAGTTCACCATAAACAAGGTTTTTCTTCACTTTCCGTGAAGAAACAATAGTGAAAAGCTGC